CCCAAGAATGTTCTAAGAACCAAAACAATGTTCTTAGAACATCGGCCTTATGTGCTAACACCAGACAGCCCCGGCCAGACATGTTCTAAGAACAGTTCGCGCAGACCACAAAAGGCTCTGAGAACACTCTTTGGTGGGGCTGTAGGCGAGCCAGGACGCTTCGCCGCTGCTTGACTGAGGCGGCGCGGGGCCGTGCCGTGCGGAGAGTGAAGGGGCCCTAGAACACACAACTAAATACACACACGCACACATATAACAGGATCCCCTTATGTTTTCCGATATGTTCTGGCCTTTTGTCTTCCCACCCACTTCCCGTAGTTTCCCATATTTTCAGGGGAACCGACGATTCATTGTGTCTGTGTCTTGGACGCCCGAAATAGGCACGGAAAGAATGGGTACAATGCCCAACAACAAATGTTGTCCCAAACCAACAGCGGCCGCTGTTGGGCGGGCGGCCCTCTGTCTCCAATGGACACGGGCCGCGGCGGCGCGGACAGCGAGCCCTGTCCAAAACGAGCAGGAACTGCTGCTGGGCATCGCACCCCCACTCTCTCCGTGCCCTCCTCAGAGGGAGGCCCGGGGCCACGACGGGCCCCGCGGCCCGGCCGACCGCCACGCGCGGGCCCGCGGAGGGCCTCTCGGCCTGCGGAGGGCCGCCTCCCCCCGGGGGGGGAGTCCGCCCGCGGGGCGCGCCTGGCGCGAGGGGGGGGGGGGGGGCGGGGCCGAGCCGGCGGCAGCCTGCTCGCGCTCCCGCCGCAGCGCGGCCACCTCCTGGGGTCTCTCCCGCTCGCTCGCCCCCGCTCTCCCTCTCGTGCTGTCTCTCTCCCTCTCTCTTTCTCTCTCTCTCTCTCTCTCTCCTGCTCTCTCTCTCTCTCTCTCTCCTGCTCTCCCTCTCTCTTCCTCTTCTTTTTATCTCCGTCCCCACCTCCCTCTCCCTACCCCTCTCTCCCTCTCCTCCTCTCGAAATGCATCTGCATAGGTATAGTTGATCCGTCTCTCGCTCTCTCCCTCTCCACATAGAGACATGTACATGCACACATGCATACACACGTACAGACAGACCAACCGACAGACATACACTTACATACATGCATACACACATGCACATACACATACACATACACATACACATACACATACACATACACATACACGTGCACATACACGTGCACATACACGTGCACATACACCTACACCTACACCTACACCTACACCTACACCTACACCTACACCCATCCATCCATACATACACACACGTACACACATACACACATACACACACATATACACATACATTATATACATACATACATGCATACATGCATACATGCATACATGCATACATGCATACATGCATACATGCATACATGCATACATACATACATACATACGTACATACACACATACACACATACACACATACACTCATACATACATACATACATACATACATACATACATACATACATACATACATACAAACATACATACATACATACATACATACATACACACATACATACATACATACATACACACATACGTGCATACGTACATACGTACATATGTACATACACACATACACGCATACATGCATACATGCATACATGCATACATGCATCCATGCATACATGCATGCATGCATGCATGCATGCATGCATGCATACATACATACATGCATACATACATACACACATGCATACATACATACATACATACACACATACACCCACACACCCACACACATACACATACACGCATACACACACATACACAGATACACACATGCATCAATCCATCCATCCATCCGTCCGTCCGTCCATACATTCATACATAAGTACTTACATACGTACATACATACACACATACAGACAGACAGACATACATATATATACACATTATATATACATATAGCACCAATAGCCTCACTTGTACGAGCGAGGCGAGCAGTGGAACGAACATTACGTCTCCGGGTAACGTGTCAGGGACCAACACCTCGGCACTGTACAGTACGACGGGATCTAGCACAACGGCGTTGCGCACCAGAACGAGATCCAGCACCAACAGCCACATATCCAACAGAGGGACGAGTAGCGCATTGAGCACGTCCCCGAGCGGCACATCTGCGACCATCGTGACACCGCACAGCACGACGCAATCGAGCACTACAGCGTCGAGCAGCACGACGACCTTCAGCCCCAGCAGACTCACGCTCACGAGTGAGACGAACGGTCCAGCCAACACCACATCCTTCAGCAGCACGGCAACGACCAGCCCTTGGGCGCCGTGGAACGCGACGAAGCTGAGCACCACGGCGAGCGACAGCACGACGGGACCCAGCACCAACAAGCCTCACGCTTACGAGTGAGGCGAGCAGAGCGACGAGCACCACCACGCCTTCGAGCAGCACGCCGGGGAGCGCCGCCTCGACTCTGAGTACTACGGCAACGGCAGTACGACGGCAACGGGCCTCACGACGGAGCACCTCAAGGCGAGATCCGGCACCAGCAACCTCACATCGACGAGTGAGACGAGCAGTGCAACGAACATCACGGCTTGGAGCACCACGCCTGGGATCATCGTCACACCGCATTACACGATGCAATCGAGCAATACGACGTCGCGAACGACGAGATACAGCTCCGACAGTTTCACTCCTACGAGTGAGGCGAGCGATGCGTCGATCAACACGTCTTCCTGCAGCACGTCTGAGACCAGTAACTACCTCGACTCTGAGCAACGCGACGGAGTCGAGTACCACGACGTTGGGCAGCACGGCGGGACCCAACATTATAACGTCTTTCAAGAGCATGTCTGTCACCAGAACCTCGATACTGAGCGGCGCGAGAAGGTGGCGCACCACCACGTCAAACAGTACGACGGGAGCCAGCACCAACACCCTCACATTCATGAATGTGACGAGCAGCGCAATATGGTCCATGGCCTGCCCACCAGGGCTCGCGCACATGGAGGGCACCAGCAGCCTCACACTCACGACTGCAATGAGCATTGCCACGAGCAGCACGTCCACCAGCAGCACCTACTCGACCAGCACTGGGACGTAGTACAGCACGACAAAGTCGAGAACCACCACGACGTGCAGTGCTACGGGATCCAGCATCAGCAACCTCACGCCGAATGGGACGACCACTGAACGGAACAACACGCCCGCCTCGACACCGAGAAACGTGACGGAACTGAGCACCACGATGCTGCGCAGTCCGACGGAATCCTGCACCAATAGCTTCACAACTAATTACGAGTGAAACGACCAGTACAACGACCACCAAGTCTGCCAACAGCACGCAAGGGACCAGCACCTCGACAAGGAACAGCGCGGCGAGACCACGCATCATGGCATTGTGCACCAAGACAGGACCCAGCACCAGCAGCCTCACATCTACGAGTGAGACGAGCAAGGTAATGATCATCTCGCTTTCGAGCAGCACGTCTGGAACCACCTCGGCACCGTGCAAGGCGACGGAGCTGCGCACCATTTCGTGAAGCAGTTCGACTGGACCCAGCACAAGCACCCCCACCGCCACGAGTGGGACGAGCAGTGAAACGATCACTATGTCACCATGTCTTCGAGCAGAATGTCTGGGACCTGCTCCGGGTCACAACGCGGAACGACGGAGGTGAGCAACATCGCGACGTGCACTGCCACAGGCTACTGCACTAGCAGCCTCGCACCTACGAGCGAGACGAGCACTGCTTCGAACGCCACGGCTTACAGCAGAACGCTGGTGACCAGCACCTCGACACTGCGCAACGCGACGGAGCTTAGCGCCACGGCGCTGAGCATCACGTTGCGATGCAGTGCTAGCAGTGCAGCGAGCACTACGCCCCCCAGTAGTAGCAAGGCAGGGACCAGCACCCAGCCACTGAGAACCACGGGGGGAACAAGCACCACGGAGTCGCGCATCCAGACGGAATTCAGCATCAGCAGTCCCGCATCTACGAGCGAGACGAGCAGGGCAACGTGCACTACGCCTTCTGGCAGCACGACTGGGACCACAATGACTCCACTCCTGCGAGTGCGACGAGCAGTGCCACGAGGCCCAGGGCCAGCCCACGAGGGCTTGCGCACATGGGCGCCAGCAGCCTCCCACCCGCGACTGCGACGAGCAGCGGCGGGTGCAGCACGACCTCCGGCAGACCTGCGTGACACGCAGTCGCACACCCACGACGGAAACGAGCGTTGGACGGTTCGGCGCGTTGAGGAGCGCGCCTGGACGGCATGTCGTGCACCACCACGCCGGGAGCGCGACGGGACGGCACGGGATGCCCCTGGACGCGGGGAACCACCAGGAACCCGCCGCTGGCAACGTTTCCGTAGCTCTAGCGCTGGGCCGCCGCGGGGAAAGCTCCCAGGGTGGCACCCTCTCTGCCGCGGGAACCCAATCACGCATGCCAGGGCCTTTGTGAAGCCGGCGCCTCTCTGCCACGGGCGTGCAGAGGGGGCGCGCATCGCCCATCTCACCACATCCCAAAACGCTGTGGTTAGGTCGGGCATGTCCTCCTACAGGCGGATTTGGGAGGGAACATTTAAGACTAGCCCAGACACATATGCAAACATAGTCAAAAATATCAGAAATCGTCCCCAGACTATGTGTTGCCTATGTTTTAATGCTCCTCCTGTAAAAGGACGTGCCCGCCGACTTAACGCCATGGGACAATGTATCTTGTTTCAGTGCCCGCTTGCTCCCAACGATCTCTTTGTCAAAGGGCCCCCGATTCCGGCGACTTCGAAAAAAGCGCAGACGACGTGTGTTCTGCCACGTTCGGCGTCCAAAGCACCGTTCGGCTCCTGTGACCGTCAGAAAACGATACATCACGCGCAAATCGGCCATTGGAAAGGGGTCGAGTCATCTGAGGCAAGAGACTTGACAACGTCCAGACGTCCGAGGGAGGTGCATGGATCGGGCCCCCCTCGTCAGCTACGTACTCCTCCCTGCATGGTTGTCCTTCTCCTGCTCCTCTGTCCTCCTGCGTCCTCCGTCGTCGCCCTCCTCCTATAGTCATCGTGAACTCCTGCTCCCATTCCCACCGTCCGCACTCCTCCTGATTCCTGATTCCTGATGGCTGCAAGGTTCGTCGAAACTGGACTCCCCCCTCAGGGCCGGTTGGCCCTGGGGAGGTTGATCAAACTAAGGCCAGGTGACCCCTGAAGCACCGCTCCAAGGGTCACTGGCGGTTTTCGGCAAACGGAAAAATGGGGATACAGACAGACAGATGTCAAGAGGAAGAGGGCAATAGGTCAATAGGGAGGAAGGAGGCCTCATCAAACAAAAAAAAAACAGAAAGGAGGAGCAAGGGGGCGAGGCTCTCCTCCTCCTCCTCCTCCTCCTCCTCCTCCTCCTCCTCCTCCTCCTCCTTCTACTCATCCTTCCCCTCGTGCTACTCCTCCTCATCCCTCCCCTCGTCCTGCTGCCTCTCCCTCTTCCCGCCGCACTCCTCCCGCCCCCCTCCGCCCTCCTTCCCTCCTCCTCTTCCTCGCTCGCTGCTCGCTGGCTCGCTCGCTGCCCGACGACGCCTGGGGTCGCTGCCGATCCTGGCTGGGGGAACGCAAGGGAAGGGGAGGCGGGAGAAATGAGCAGTGCAAGGAGAGGAAAAGACACCAGGGGTCGACAGCGCATTTCCAGCACCGACGGTCCTGATCCTCCAGCAACGCACGCTGATCCATGTCGGTCAACGTCCCGCCCTCCTCCTGAACTGAACTGAATTGGACCCACGTCGAAGGCGGCAAAACGTACACGATACAGCTCTGAAACTGTTTTGCTCGTGCCTTACAAGGCTGCACTGCCTCTGCGCCGTCGGGGAAACGGGGTCGACGCACGACGCGGACGGCCTTCGGCGCATCCGCTCCGACACGCAGCGACGGAGTCCGATGCAGCCAGGGGGCCAGCTCGGCGGACGCTGCTGGCCACATGCTAAGGATCGCAGGACCGCATGCTATGCCCATGAGGGGTGCACGAGCAGAGTCCCCCGTCGCGAGCGAAGTAGGTAAACTAGAAACATAACAATCAAAGACATCCTTCTCCTCCCCCTCCCCCTCCCTTTCCTCCCTCCTCCTTCTCCTCCTTCTCCTCCTCCTCCTTCTTCTCCTCTCCTTCCTCCATCCTCCTCCCTCCGCTCTCCTCCCTCGTCCCCCTCCCTCCCCCCCTCCCCTGCCCGCATGATGCCTCCAGAGATCCCCAGGGGGGCCACCTGGAGGGTCCCTCCAAACAATGCAATTACCAAAACGCACAGACACAAAAACCTCGATCCCCGATCCTCAGCCTGTCCGTCGTTGTCGTCGCCGTCCTCCTCCTCCGATCGTTCCCCCGGGATCCGCGGCGCCGCGCTTCCACAACGACTCGGCCTTCTCCGCCAGCACCGCCTCCAAGGAGGCCGCGACCTGGCACGCCAAAGCGCCGTCCGAAACTGACAGCGCCAGCGCGGCTGCGCCATCAGACGCTGGCCATCGAACTAGCAGCGTTGACCGCGAGGTCGATGGCGACTCGTTCAAATAAGTGCCCAAGAAATTGCCACTGATGTCCGTGTCATGCGACGTCGCAGTTCGCGCCGCACGATGCGCATTATCCTCGCGCCCTCACGCTGCCCCTCGAGACCTATCCAGCCCCTAATTGCCGCGAGGCGCGGTGACTTTCGCACCCCCTGCGGGTGACCTGGAGCATGGAAGAATCACTGGGGAGGCGTTGCATGGGGGGGGGGAGAAAAGTGCCCTCTTCGGGCCCTGAAGGCCTCCTTAGCGACCCTAAAGGGCCCCTTTGGGGGCCCTAAAGGGTTTTTTGAGGGTCCCTAAAGAGCTCCCTTTTCTGCAACCCTCAATGCCTCCCATATCCCGCCCCCCAGTACTTTAGCAGGGACAGACCGTCCCGGCACTCCCATATGCCTACCACAAAATGCTGCTCTTAGAACTCCAAACATGTTCTAAGAACCAAAACAATTCTTAGAACGTAAGTGCGATGCGTTCGAACATGACAGTCTCAACAAAACATGCTCGCATAACTTTTCGTGCAGACCACAGTTACAAAATTTTTGGGTGGGCCGATCGGCCAGCCATGACGCCTCGCCACTGCCTGAGCGTATCGCCCCCCATTGCGCGTCCTCCGAACCAGGGCGTGACTGCCACACCAGCAGGGCACGACTGCCGCAGGGCGTCAGGCCGCGCAGGGGCCCCGACCCCGCGCGCACCGCTCAGCCAAATTACCCAGGCGACGTACCCAACCCCTGCGCAATGCGGGGCATGAGTAGCCTGGGAGACGTTATACGGAGGTGATGACGTGACATGGGCGCATATACTTCTGCGAGCGGCATTCGTGAGGCTCGCAGGCCCCCAGGGATTGCGATGTCTCGCTAAGATCTGCCTGGTGCCTCGCTCCGCTGAACCCGCCAGCAGCCCTCGAAAGTGGCGACAGTGTCGCAGATCGCAGCCCCCCAAGGACGGCGAGCCCCGCTCAGATCTGCGCGGTGCCTCACTCCGCTGGACCCACCAGCAGCCCTCGAACGCGGGGGCAGTTTCGCAGATCGCAGCCCCCCAGGCACGGCGAGGTCTTGCTCAAATCTGCGCGGTGCCTCACTCCGCTGGACCCACCAGCAGCCCTCGAAAGTGGCGACAGTGTCGCAGATCGCTATGCTGGCCCCCCAAGCAGCCCTCGAAAGTGGCGACGGGTGCGCAGATCGCAGCCACCCCAGGCACGGCGAGGTATTGCTCAGATCTGCGCGGTGCCTCACTCCGCTGGACCCACCAGCAGCCCTCGAAAGTGGCGACAGTGTCGCAGATCGCAGCCCCCCAGGCACGGCGAGGTATTGCTCAGATCTGCGCGGTGCCTCACTCCGCTGGACCCACCAGCAGCCCTCGAAAGTGGCGACAGTTTCGCAAATCGCAGCCCCCCAGGCACGGCGAGGTCTTGCTCAGATCTGCGCGGTGCCTCACTCCGCTGGACCCGCCAGCAGCCCTCGGAAGTGGCGACAGTTTCGCAGTTCGCAACCCCTCAGGCACCGCGAGGTCTTGCTCAGATCTGCGCGGTGCCTCACTCCGCTGGACACACCAGCAGCCCTCGAAAGTGGCGCAGATTCGCAGATCGCAGCCCCCCAGGCACGGCGAGGTCTTGCTCAGATCTGCGCGGTGCCTCACTCCGCTGGACCCACCAGCAGCCCTCGGAAGTGGCGACGGGTGCGCAGATCGCAGCCCCCCAGGCACGGCGAGGCCTTGCTCAGATCTGCGCGGTGCCTCACTTCGCTGGACCCACCAGCAGCCCTCGAAAGTGGCGACAGATTCGCAGATCGCAGCCCCCCAAGGACTGCAAGGCCGCGCTCAAATCTGCGCGGTGCCTCACCCCGCTGGACCCACCAGCAGCCCTCGAAAGTGGCGACAGTTTCGCAGTTCGCAACCCTTCAGGCACGGCGAGGTATTGCTCAGATCTGCGTGGTGCCTCGCTCTGCTGGACCCACCAGCAGCCCTCGGAAGTGGCGACGGGTGCGCAGATCGCAGCCCCCCCAGGCACGGCGAGGTATTGCTCAGATCTGCGCGGTGCCTCACTCCGCTGGACCCACCAGCAGCCCTCGAAAGTGGCGACAGTGTCGCAGATCGCAGCCTCCATCGTCGCTGAAGAGAGGGCAGGAGGAGGCGGGAGGCGGGATGAGGAGGAGGAGGAGGAGGAGGAGGAGGAGGAGGAGGAGGAGGAGGGACGCGACCACAGTGCTCTATTCAGAACGAATGCCCAACCAAGGAGGGTTGGGAAAAAGATACCTCCGCTGCCGGGGGGGGGGTGCCGCGGAGGCTCTCGGCCCCATCCGCACTTGGCGGCGCGCACAAGGGGGGGCGGGGGGGAAGCGGGAAGGCTTCTTGGAAGGCGCCGGCCCTACATCACCAGACAAAGCCCGCGGCTTCCAAGAAGTGGGTTGCTTCTAAAAAACTTTCCCCCCCCCCTACCCCCCTCTGCGCGTGGCCGACTCACGAGCGGCGACCGTACAGTATCCATATCCGCACCCTCGCGGTCTGGACTCCGGGGCTCGATCTCGATGACAGACGGTCGCACGGATCCGTCCCGCCCGGGGCAGCGGCAAAAAGCGCCCCGCATCGTCCGTGCGCGAGGTCGTGGACCAAGTCATCATCCGCGCATCATCCGCGCGCGGGGTCATCATGCGCGGCCCGCAGGGCCGCCCGAAACGGCGGCACGCAAAGGTGCCGCACGCCGAAGCGGCGCTCGCCTCGGGCTTGGCTCTCGCTGGCTCCATGTATGCATGCACTCTTCTCGGGGGCGAGCGACCATGGATTAACTAGCGATCCATGGATTTGGCGCGCGGTCACCTAATCCATGGATCGGGGGAGGTGCCCTCACCAAAATGCGGCCGGTGCCGCCCCGTTCGGCGGCGGAAATGCGCGAGTTCCCATGGAAACGGGACCCGTCGCTCAGCCACGCCCTCTGGATCCGTGCTTGCGATCGCCTGATCTTCCTCGTCGTGCACCACCTGTCCACCGTGGGCCACTTCTGCGCGTTCACCGTGCACCTCGGGCACGCGCGAGAAGGGCTTCATATTCGGACCGCGATACAGCGATACAGCGATACAAGAGGTCAAGCCGGGCAGAACGCACAGAGGCACGAGCTCAGCTCAAAGCCGATCTGAAAACATCTTCGACCGCGGCTCTCTCGTTCCCGCCTCCTCTCCCCTGCGCGGGCCCGACACGCGGGCCCTGGAACGACCGCGCCGCAACCGCGTCGAGGGCGGCGCGGGCTCCCGCACGGCGGGCGCCTCGAGCGGCTGCGCCCCGCCGTGGCCGTCGCCCGGGGGCCCCGCGGAGCCCCCGGGCGACGGCCACGCCGCCCGATCGGTAGGCGCAGGATAGGCAAGCCAGGTCAAAAAGAGGCGTGCTTCGGACTGGACTGCGCCGGCACGGGGTCGGGATCGACGTGGGCCAGCGGCGCCAGGAGGCACAGCAGCGCCAGGCAAGTTTCGGGCCGCATCGCATCTCCAGGAGATCGACGTCGAATCGGATCGGATCGGCCGAATCTGGTATCGAATCACACCGACCGATCGGAACGACATGGGCCCAGCAGTAGGCGTGTCGCCGCAGACCTTCGGCGCCGTGACTTTTCTTGGTGCGAGGACTCCCCAAGAGCTCTCTCGACGCCTGTCCGCAGAGCGGCCCCTCGTCCCGGATCTCTCTCCCTAGAGGCCTCCAAGATGCATCGGCGACGCCAGCGTGGAGAAAATCGGGCCCCACACCGAGCCGCATCGCCGACGCATCGACGATGCGTCGCGATCCTCCAACACCCTGTGCTCGGACCCCACCTGGGAGGCCTAGGCTCCCACGGCCCCGGAGCCCGCAGCCCTGGCCTTTGACCGGACGAAGGTGGCGAGTGCCCCGCGGTCGAGCTCTGCCCCCAAAACCGTCGGAGGTCCTGGGAGCCCGCCGCAGGAGGAAAGAGGGGCCCTCTCTGGGCGCCCCTGGCTCTGCTAGGGGAGCGATGGGGGACCGGTTCGGGGGGTGTCGGATCGAGAAGCCAGATCGGCGAACGAAATAAATCGGATCGGCGGAAATCGGCAGCCGAGTCGGGAAAGGTCGACTCGGCGGAAATCGGCAGGCTATTAGGTCTCCTTTGAGACATCGGATCCCAGAGCGGAATCCGAAGTCGAACCGACTCGGAACCGGAATCCATCGACATCGAATCGAATCGAATCGGAGGACTCGAAACGCGTCCCGGGGTGCAGGGGAGGGGGGGCACTGAGCTGGAACCGACGCTGCATCGCCGAGAGATCGGCATCCCTCTCTCTCCTCCTCCTCCACGTCCTCCACGTCCTCCTCGTCCTCCTCGTCTTCCTGCTCCTGCTCCTCCTCCTCCTCCTCCTCCTCCTGCTGCTCCTCCTCCTCCTCCTGCTGCTCCTCCTCATCCTCCTCTTGCTCCTGCTCCTCCTGCTCCTGCTCCTCCTCCTCCTTCTCCTCTTCTTCCTCCTCCTGCTCCTCCTCCTCCTTCTCCTCCTCCTCCTCCTCCTCCACCTCCCTCCTCCTCCTCCCTCCTCGTCTCGTCCTCGTCTCGTCCGTCCTCGTCGTCTCGTCCTCCTCCTCCTCCCTCCTCCTCTCCTCCCCTCCTCCTCCTCCACAATTACTCAATATGAAAATACTCTCCCTCTTCCCCTGATGGCGTCCGGGTGATGGCCGCGCACCCTCCGCGTACTGTTTTTTACACACAGGATGCCCGGGAAATCCCGGGAAACGACTCTCGCTGAGGCGCCGGCGTCATTTTTTCCCAAAATGCTGCTCTCGTTGAGGCGCCGGCCTCATTTCTGCTCCCGAATCGTTCCGAATCGTGCTCCCGCTGCAGCGTGGGCCTCATTTTCGGATCGGTGTTTGGCCTCCGTCGTTCAGGATGGCGTTCTCGCCCCAGCGCGGGCCTTTTTCTCGCGCGCCCATCCGCCCGCCACCACCGCGCCGCACCGCCACCACCACCACCACCACCACCACCACCACCACCACCACCACCACCACCACCACCACCAGCACCAGCACCAGTACCAACACCACCACCACCAGCACCACCACCACCACCAGCACCACCACCACCATCACCACCACCACACCACCACCACCACCACCACCACCACCACCACCACACCACCACCACCACCACCACCACCACCACCACCACCACCACCACCACGACAACCACGCACACACGCACGCACGCACGCACGTGCACCACCACCCACTACGCACGCGCGCGCGGAGCCACAGGTCCGCTACGACACGCGTCCGCGGATAGAGAAAATCAGCGCCATGGTAAGGGATGGGAGGGAGGGGTAGGACGTCAGATATGACGCGAGCGCACCTAGCTTGCCCCTCCCCACTCCCCCTCCCCCTCCCCCTCCTCCTCCTCCTCCTCCTCCTCCTCCTCCTCCTCCTCCTCCTCCTCCTCCTCCTCCTCCTCCTCCTCCTCCCCGAGGGGGGACAGCCCACCGCTCGTGGGCACGCAGGGGCGCGCAGGGGCCCCGCTCGGGAGCGGGAACGGGCGACCTGCGGCCGCCGTGCGCCGCCCCTCCCCCTGCGGCTGCAGCAGGGCTGAACCTGAACGTTTTGTTTTCGTTTTCGTTTTCGTTTCCCGTTTCGTGTTCGTTTTGTTGTTCGTTTTTCATTCCGTTTTGTTCTGTCGCTTCCTCAGCGACTGGCGGTGACTGGGGAGTGGGCGACCTGCGGCCGATGTGCTCCCAGGCCCTCGACACCGCGATTTGCTCATGACATGGACACCTGGAGGTCTCGACTGTCGACCCATTCCCACGGGAGCTGTTGTACACCCCGAGTCGTTGCTTGACGGCCCTGGGACCCGGCGAGGGCCCCCAAAGGCCGAAGATTGCCGAAAACTCCCGCCGTGATGTTGTTTCCTGACCTGAGGGGTCTGGGCTCCCCCCCGCACCCGGTCTTGGCGGCGCGCACAAGGGGGTGGCGGGAGGGGGGGATGGCTTCTCCGAAGGCTGCTTCTTAGAAGGCGCTAGCCGCTAGCCCTACATCCATAGATACGGCCCGCGCCCTCGAAGAAGCAGAGGTGCTTCTAAGAAGCCCTCCCCCTCCCCCCAGCTCCAGGCTGGATTGGGGTGGGGCGCTCTCGGCCCACAAAGGGCTTGAAAAGGAACCGCTCTCGTTGCTCCATTCCTCTTCGCCACTCCTCTTCCTGAGCTTCTTCCTCCTCGGGGGAAGCAAACATCCTCCTGCTCCGCCTCCTTTGCTCCCTTCATGCCCTCAGGCCATTGGAAAAACCAGGCAAAGCGTGTGGCCGACTGCCGCTGCCCCTGCCGACCTCCTGGCGGAGGCGCTCCCTCAGCTGCTCCTCCTGGCCGCCATCGCACTGCTGCCCCGGGGCCATGGGCGCCCGCCCCTGCCGCAGACAGGCGCGCGCGTGCGCGCGGGGGGCTGCCCGGCGGCAGAGGGTCTGCGAGCCGTTCGGCTTGCCTGTTGCGAGCCGGGGACCCAAGGAGGGCAACGAGCTGGAGGAAGAGCAGCAGCGCGCACACACACACACACACACACACACACACACACACACACACACACACACACACACACACACACACACACACACACACACACACACACACACACACACACACACACACACACACACACACACACACACACACACACACACACACACACACACACACACACCACACACAACACCACACACACACACACACACACACACACACACACCACACACGCACGCACGCACGCACGCGCACGACGCACGCACGCACGCACGCACGCACGCACGACGCACGCACGCACGCACGCACGCGCCCGCGCCCGCGCCCGCGCCCGCGCCGCGCCCGCGCCCGCGCCGCACACGCACACGCCCACGCCCACGCCCACGCCCACGCCACGCCCACGCACACGCACACGCACACGCACACGCACACGCACACGCCCACGCCCACGCCCACGCCCACGCCCACGCCCACGCCCACGCCCACGCCCACGCCCACGCCCACGCCCACGCCCACACGCACACGCACACGCACATGCACACGCACACGCACACGCACACGCACACGCACACACGCACAAACACACACACACACACGCACACACACACACACACACACACACACCTTCGGAACCCCGCAACGGCGTCTTGGTGCCGTTCTACCCCTTCATCGAGGAACGGCGCAAACACAAACTTTCGGAGACCCGCGCAGATTTATGTAGTCGGTGCTGGATCCACTCCCCTGGCGCGCGAGGCGCGCCAATGGGAACACCACTTGAAAGAAATCTTACACGCGTATATCTCCCATATGTGCTCATCTTCCCTAACGAAATCACTGTCTATGAGTGTCGGAGTGTGGGTAAATCCGAGTGCGCGTGGGATTGAGGATGCCAGAACTACGCGCACGTCTCGCTATCCAGTGTCAGCCAGCGTGGACCCCAAACAATAAGTTCATGCACTGTGGATGTGAAAACTACGTGGTGGAAAAACAGTTGTGTAAGCTACGTGCTGCAGCAAGCGTGGCGCAAGCTGGAGGCGGTCGGGAGGTGGGCGGCAACGTGGCAAAACCTCGCCAGACCCACCCAGCGCACGAGGCAGCCACGAGGCGGCCACGGGCGGCAACGTGGGGCGAAACCTCGCCGGACCTACCCAGCGCGCTCCTCCTCCTCCTCCTCTTCTTCGTCTGCTTCTTCTTTTTCTGATTATTCTTCTTCCTCCTCCTCCCCTCCTCCTGCTCCTCCTCCTCCTCCTCCTCCTCTTCCTTCTCCTCCGCCTCCGCCTCCGCCTCCGCCTCCGCCTCGGCCTCCGCCTCCTCCTCCTCCGCCTCCTTCTCCTCCTCCTCCTCTTCTGCCTCCTCCTCCTCCTCCTCGCGCACGAGGCGGCCACGAGGCGGCAACGTGGCGAAACCTCGCCAGACCCACCCAGCGCACGAGGCAGCCACGAGGCGGCCACTGGCGGCAACGTGGGGCGAAACCTCGCCAGACCTACCCAGAGCACAAGGCGGTCACGAGGCGGTCACGGGCGCCGAGGTGGGAAACATCCTCGGCGGACCTGTCCAAACTCCTCCTTGAAATATAAGTAAGAGACCCTAAGTGCAGGCACTGCTGAGGGGAATATTTGAGGTAGCCTGGGTATGAGTAGGTCTCCATGGGCGGCTCACCCTTGGGATGCCCAAGTGCCATGCCTGCTGCACCGCGGTGATCATGGGATGTGAAGAGAAACTCACGAAAACAAGCGATTCCCCTGAGAGGCCCCCACAATCTTGGTGCGAACGGGCACCGTGTCATCCCCCTTGGGATGCCTAAGGGCCATGCATCCCGCATCGCTGTAGTCATGGGGCTCAGGAAAGAGCCTCCCTTGCTGTGCCAAAGCAAACGAATCGCCTCAGAGGTCTTCGCAATCTAGGCGCGAACGGGCCAGTGTCCTACCCCCCTGGCGGCTTCCCCCTGGACAGCAGGGCCTGCTACATCGCGGCGACCATGGGGTTATGAAAACAACTCTGCTACCATTAGGTCGGGTATGTCCTGCTACAGGGGGCTTGTGGACGAAAAAAATACTCCCAAACCAAACCAACACCAAGGTTCCGCCAGTGAGGTCCCAAGAATCTGGGCACGGATGGGCCCGTGTCCTACCCCCTGGTGGTCCCCTTTAAGATGCCCGACTGCTACGCCTGCGACATCGCGTGCTCATGGGGCTCATAACAAAGAGCGCCCAACACTGACGTATCGTCTGAGAGGTTCCACAATCCAGGCGCGAACATTAACCATTTCGGAGTGTTCTACGCATGTTTCTGATCGGATCCCCTGTGGGAGCTGCAGATGGTCCGAATATCAATTGCATGAGCTCTAATCAGTGAGCACACTACATTTTGCGAACACCACAATCTGCCTCTGAACGGCTTCTGAACGTTACCGCTACGGGGGGAAGAATGGGGGTGGGGGGTAACATGAGTTACGCTCGAAAAATAACCAACCACGATCATAAACGAACCGATTACTTCCCGGTCGCCTGATCGCAAAGATGGTAGCTGCCCTGTTCCGCTGAGTGCTCCCCACCGGCCAACTGCTGCACCTTCCAGCTCGCCATGAACAGCAATCCAGACGGCTCCTCCTTTCGCGCTTCGGGCCCCCGAGGGCCCGTCTCGGACTCTGGGCCTGCCAAAAACAACCCAGAACAAATCCACGGAGCTCGCGTCGGGTCAGCGCTAAGCCGGCCCAGCCAAGACCACGCACGTCGCGAACAAGGGACGCCCACGGAGACGCTCCGAGACCTGGGTCAGCGGAGAGGAGCGGGGGGGTCCACGGGGCCAGGCTACGCAGGGCGGCAGAATCCAAGCCAGCCAGAAGGGATCGGAGGGGATCGGCTGACCCCGTGACGTTTAGGTCGGGCGTGTCCCCCTACAGGCGGATTTTGGACGAAATATCTAAAATAGCCACACACACACACACATACACATATATATATATATATATATATACATACATATATTCAAAACCGCGCAACAAAACGTATTTCAAAAAAACATGTCCAAACTATACTTGTTGTGTACTAGTTTTTGGATACTCCTCCCGTGGAGGGACAGACCCGACTGAACGTTACGTGCGCCCCGACCGGGTCACGGGTCGAGAGCTCTGCGGGGCCCGCGTCACGAAGCGATCGTGGCCTCCGGTGGTCTGAGACATGGTGGGTTTGTTGTCCACCGCCACCAGCATACGTAGGAGGGGGAGGGGGTTCTCCTCCTCTTCTTCCTCCTTCTCCTCATCCTCCACCTCCCCCCCCCTCCAACTTATGGTGGCGGTAGTGGAAAACATGCCCATAAGGACAAGGCCCGAGTCTGCTGACACCGTGCTGGCGGCGGGGCTGTCGTTTTGCCGCCGACCCTGCAAGGCAGCCGGCAACGACACACGCCGAGGTCCAAGCAAACGAGGTTGTCATCAGTCGGAGCGTAGCTTGTCACAAACATGAGCCCTTTTGCCAGGAACCTCATATACTGCACAGAAGGTACCGCAAGTTCCGGCGTGAGGAACAAGGGACGCTGCCCCGCCTGGGCCTCGCGCCGAAGTGCGCAAGCAGCGGCAGGGGAAGAACCCACGTAGTGGACATCGAGCCCCTTCTGAAACCGAAGTGGACCTTGTCCCGAAATGTTGACTGTGCTGTTCATCAGCTAGCTGTGGCCGAGACACTGTGCGTAAACCTCCGAGGCCCTGACTTGTTTAAATGCTGCAACGCTGGACCTGTCGACCCCTTCCCTGGAACCACATGTTCGTCCCGAATCGGTGATTGCCTGTCCTGAGGCCGGGAGCACCACTGGGAGGCATAGAACATCACGGAAAGCAGTCATTTCCTTCCAAGTCTGGGTGCTGACATGCTGTGGCCTGGACACGTACGATTGGCGTTGGAGAGGTGGCGTGCAATATCGATCCCCGAAACGCATGCAATCCCAGTGAGGCGATCCCCCCCTCGAGGGCCCCCCCTGTGCACGCGATCCCCAAGGTGGGGAACAACGCATGATAAGAGGGCCGGCGGCGCCACATCGGACGCCATCTGAATGGTGCCAACCGTTAAATATGGGTTCGGTGGTAACTCGTGGGAGCCTCCCATACCATCTTGTCGGCTTTTGCAACATCGACGCTATTCGACTCTAAATCGACGCTACTCGACGCTGAATCGACGCGAATCGACGCTGGCCGACGCCACGTCGGCGCTATCTCATCGACTCCCGGACGCTAATCGACGCTAAACCGACGCTAAAGGCGGAATCGAAAGGGTAGACCAAGCTCCCATTTTTTGCCAATGACTCTGGTACGGGACGTCAAAACGACCACAGCCACTGCTTATCTTTTGGTGCCGCCTTCCAGCCATCAGGAACAAAACAGTGGTTGTGGTCATTTTCGTTGAGCTTGGCACCGGGGAAATGACCACAACCACTGCTTCTTTTTCGGCCGGCTGGAAGGCGGCGCAAACAAGAAGCAGTGGCTGTGGTCATTTTCCCGTCGGGTGCTGCCAGGCCGTGGCCATCGACCCACGAGGCTCCCCGCCCAGACTCGCGCGCGGCAGCGGCGGCAGCCGCGCGCGCACGGTCCAGGGCGCTCTACACCGCCAGCGCGGCCGCGGCGGGGGTCGCCTCTCGGAGGCCGCGGCGGGGGAGCTCCACCGCACCAGATGGCGCGTGCGGCAGGGACCGCGCATGCCTCGTGCATCGCAGGCAGCTGCCGATCCGCAGACGTGTCGTCAGTGAGCACGTGCTTTCGTTTCTTGTCAGCTGCTGAGACCGCTCGCCGTGTGCCTCGCGAGCTCACGTTCGTAGCCTCACCTCCTGACTGCTCTGTCACGGAACTTGTCAAGATACTATCGCGCACACGCGGGAACACTCACACCTG